TAAACCAGAGAATGGTGCTTATTTTTCTCTGTTGCCAAGGGTGAAATGAGTCCAGTCTCACAAAGGCACTATAGCTGGGATATTGCTTCTTTATAGCAGAGGTACATTGGATGGAGGCCATCCATGAAGGGTGTTCTGAACTTTTAAGCAGGATCAGGGGAAGTAGCAATACCTGCTTGCCTTGATCATACAAGCCACTATCACAACCATCTCCCCCTTTCTCCGCCCCAAGGCCATGACACTGACATCCTGAACAGGAGCAGCAGCATAAAAATGCTTGCTTGGACACTGCTTATCATCACCTTTCCTTACTCTACCCCAAGCTCAGTTTGAGGGCCTTTCAGAAAGATGAGAAAGGGACATGGGCTTGGTGAACACCCATGTTTGTTGTGCGTATTAAATGCTTGCAAACTTCAGTAGTTCATTGAAACATTTAAAAAAGCTGAACACTTCTGGTACAAGTAATACAATGTGCTCACACCCCATCTATCTGTGGTTATAGTGAGTAACAGTCAAATCTAAGGGAAGTATGAATTGCTTTCTCAAGCTTGGAGAACTCTTTGAACCATGTCAGTATATTGGTCAGTAAATAAAGGGACCCTCCCTCCTTTTCATTGGCTGATTTGAAAGTGCTTCATTCAGGTCATTTGTGCAAAACAGACTATAAACCAAAATGAAAGAAAAGCACTTCCATGAAGCCTTTTCAATTTTACTAATCTACGTATGTGCATTTTTATATTTGATGGGAGAACGTGAACTACTTAACTGACCCTGTGGGTAGTAGTGCTCAAAGTAGGCAAAATGGGCTTAATTTGCAATTTGCTGATTGAACTGACACAATAAACAAGGCATAACCAAATCAGGTTTACTTCCAGTTACCATAACCAAGCTAATTGGAGATGATCACAAACTGACTATGTTCATCACCCAGCTCTCCTGGGAAACTCATGGAGGGGCACTGAGCAAGATTAACCTATCTTAAATGGTTTGTGTCAGCATAGACTATAGCTATGGAAGGCCCAGGAGCAGGATACAAATGGAACTGTTTTGGGATTAAGGATCCAATTAATTTGTAGAAATTCATCTGAGTAGAAGTCTGGACCTGCAGGGCATATCTTGTATTTGTGCTCTGATGATAATGCTGTGGTAAGGTTGTGGTAATAACTCAGTGGCATAATCACGTTCTGAATATAAGTTGACTTCCCAGTTCTGTCATTTGAATACAAAGTGTTGCCCTGGACAGCTCTTTTAAAGTGTCTCACCAGGTCCTGAATAATGTAAATATAAACCGATTTGGAATCAACTGAAATGGTGCAGAACTTGCTTTGGTTTTCATGTTGACATGACAGCTTTCAACTCCAACGTTCAAATACTTTCCAAATAGTGATGTATTTATTTCAGCAGAGCAACATGACCAGAGAGATACCGTGCATACCAAAAATACATAAATGATGCACTCATCTGTCTTTAAAGCTCAACTCATACATCCTTGCCATTAAAATAAGGTTTCAATACATTCAGCCCCTTTGATTCGTTTGCTTTCCTCCCTGTAACATTGTGGCAAAAATATAGTATTTGTTAAAGGATTCGTAAAATGTAACTCAACTTGCAGATACTCAAATTTCAGTATCAACAGCTGAAAAATGTTGTTTGGGACTTCTACTACGCAAAGCTAACACATGCACAGTTGTTCATGGAGAGTGCTTTATTGCCACAAATTACCAGTCTTGTTATTTTGCTGTTTGACTGTGATTGCTGCACAGGGACCCGCAGTTACTCCTTATATCCAGTAAAAAAAAAGGCTGCTATTAGTCATCAAATCTAATTTGTCTGTCCTGTCTGCTCTGATCAGCTCGTCCCAATCTGCTGTTGCGAACTCAACACTCAGCTCCCCTTCACATACACACACAACACTACCACAACTGCTGCACCCTGCAGGCTTCTCGCTTATCCCTTCAGAAGCTGTTCTTAGGATGTGCTTGGAAACAGCACACACACGCCTTAGCCTCAGAACATAAAGCACAAGAGCAAGGCTTGCATGAAGACAAACAAACCGGGGCACACTTTACCCAGACTTTGGTACAGTCTCTCTCCTCGCCAGTGGTCAATTGATGTGGTCAATTCTAGCTTGCACCTATGAAGCTCAGCGCTCTCTTCCTTTTCTACTATGCATTGCTTGCTATTCTAGTGTTTTAAACAATGCTAAATATTTTGAATCTGGGCTTTTACCATATTCAAAATCTAAGCAAACTCTTTGCTGCAGTACTACAACAATTCAAACTCTTAAGACTTGGATGTCATTGTTAATCCATGCAATCTATACCGCACCCTATTGGCTTAGCCCTCGGGGCAGTTGGTTCATAGCCTGGTTAAATATAAAAACATTAAAAAGGAAAATCAGAAAAGATTCCATCCTTTATAGTATCCGCTTTTCCCTCCAATGTATTAGCTATGTTGTTCAAAAGCTGCCACAAATCTGATGTTGCATGTTTCTAGGCTTTTCCACTTTTTTGTTTAAACACTGTATCCCCCCCACCCCAGTCCACCAAATCTTTTCCGTTTTCAGTGTTTCTTCTGAATTAACTTTTCACTTAATCTTTTAGACTTTCACCAATTTCAAACTAAACAAAAACTGCAAGGTGTGCATGCAGCACTTTGCTAGGCTTGTTTCACAGAACCCCGAGGTCAGTAATAAGTGAAGTGTCTCCCAACTGAGATCTTAATATTTTAACTGAGATCAAAACCTGGGAAGAGATTGATGCAATTACCTGAGAGGTGGTGATAGCTCACGTTTTAAGACAAAACATCCGAGATATGTTTAGATACTAAGTTCTATGGTGGCATTAAATGTCAGATTCTCTTTTTATTGTTGAAACAGTAGGTTTGTTCAGGAATGCAGACTGTGTATGATTTCCACTTATTTTCTGTCTTCAGGATCCAACTGATTTAATGGTTCACATTGGGGCACATACAGTGGCTGTTATGGCTCTCTCAGAAGCACATTGATCTCCAGTCTTCCATCACAGCACAACTTGTGCTTCAGGGGGCATAGGAAAGGGAACCTAACACCCACAGGTAGGAGCCAAGTTACCTCGACCAGACTTGCAAAGCCAGAATTCCCTGTATGAGAGTGCAAGTGTGTAGATATACCTATGCGTGGGGAAGACTGTGTGTTTCAACTCTTCACTGTCTGTCAGCTATCAAACAGAAAAAAGAAAGAAGTAATGATAATCACGTTCTCCACTTATAATTTTTACTCCAGACCAAGTCACCATACTCTTGATATCACGCAACATGCCATGGGAAGATGAACTCTTGGACATCAGAATCCCAACTTCATGAAGGAACCATGCAGTGATTTCAACTCAATATGTTTGTTGGCTGTGTTCCAGGTAAGATGGGGTCTTATTCCAGGTTTATGGCACAGAAAAGTTTCCACTGATGAGCAACAGGCACAATTTTTTTTTTTTTGCAAAAGTAATTGATACTGCTTTTATGACTTCATCTAAAAATAAAGCCTAATTCGAATATTTAGCTGTCCCTTTTTGGTTTGATTCAGGTATGGTCTTAGTCAGCTACCCCAGGTTACTTGGGAAGGTTTTAAAACAAAAGGATTGAGCAGGAAGTTCTGCACAGTATGTAACACCCCCATGAGTTGAGAAGAATTTGACAGGACCCATGTTTAGAGCAGGTAGGAGGAAGGCAGTGCATGCGTGAGCATGTGCGCACACATGGAAAGAATTAAAGCCAACAGTCATGAATGAATCATAGCTGTAGCCTTTAGGGTAGCAGTTGCTTGTATTTGCATGACTGGATGGAATTTCGGGTTCAAAAGGAAACCACAGAAATTCAGGTTGATGTCCCTAGTGATTATAGCACCAGTGTACCCCACTCCCCAAACACAATCCACAACTAAAATAGTTAAGTAGCTAAATCAAACCAGCAAGTTACAAATAGAAGTCTCTCAACTGGCCAGAATAAAGAAGCAACTTAATACAACTGGGGGGGGGGGGGTGTGCTTTAAATGCCATTGCAGCTAACTTTGCAGCTCATAGGGAAGTGAAGCAGGTCAAAGAAAATGTAAAGCATCTTGCCCAGTTCTGGCTTTATGTATGATTTCAGATAACTATGAAAATAAAAAAGTTGATAGAACAGGAAAATTTGTCCATCAAAATCCAAACAATGACTGGTAACATACATTTCAATGACTCAGTATATAGGCACGAAGTGTTTCCTTCTTTTGCCAAACAATGCACCCTTGAGGAAGCTAAAAAGAATTTGAAGATTCCAGGGGAACTCTTTGCATTTGAGTTCTTTGTTTTGTTGTTGCTGTTTTTGTTTAGGGGATGTAGTTTTTGAGAAACTGGATAGATTTCTAGCAAATTGTCGGATATTCAAGAAATGGAAAGCAGAACTGATGCTAGCAATTTCAACCAATCTGATTAGCAACATAGCTATAAAAATTTTTGGTGTGAGAATGACAAGAATGTGCAGTTCTTCTGTACTGATGTTCTGACCCAAGTCTAAAGCGAACCATACTACCACAAGGTACAAACTTCATGTACTCATTAACATGGCAGTGTATTTGATAATAGTGCAATGAATTAAGGATGGAAGAGATAAGCAAACTAGCATGAAGGAAATGGATGCAAGTTATCAGATGTGACTTGGGAATAGAAAGCTATGACACCAGAAAAGCTAAGGACCTATGGCAGAGGCCACATAAGAAACTTAGGCTGCAATCCTATATACTTCCTTGGGACTAAATCCCACTGAGCTCAAAATAACTTATTTCTGAAGATGTATGCTTAGTAAGATGTACAGTAAATGAATAAAGATCATTGTAGAGAACTTAAGGTGCAACCATGGTGTGCGCATCCCTTTTAATCTATGTAAGTTAAAGTGAAATAACTCATTCAGTTAAGAATGCCCAATTGTTGAGGCTGAAAGTGCTCTCCACCTGCACAAAGCTAGCCACCAAAAAAAACCACAAGAGCATCTGCCATTTAAAAAAACACACATTCTTTTAATATTTGGAGAGGTAGTGTAGAAAAAAACAAATTCAAGGGCAGAGAGCTTAATTAATGTGAAGTGTTAAGTACTCCTGGAATTACATATTATAAAATGAGGGAAATGTGCAGTTTTGCTACTTTAGTGTAGCTATGCGATTTTAGTGACCTTTAAGAACTATGCAAAACAGAAGTACTCCTCTTTATGCTGTATTTCAAATAACCTCACCTCATGTGTAGCTTAATACTTCGATAATGACTTTTACTGATTATATACACATTTGTTATTTTTAAAATTCTGATATAAAGCATTCAACAAATACTTTGTAATGAGAGTGGACTAAGTTACCAGATATCAAAATCTGGAATCTCTTAAGGAACTAAAGTCATTAATGACAGTTAAAGAGTGCAAATAGTACATTCTTTATTCTGCCATACATTTAGATACAGAATAGCTTTGATTTTCAAAATATAAAATGACAGCCCTGCAAGCTGTCAATTGGCTTTTGAGGATCAAGCACATGTAACTTTTCCAGTTTTTATTGCACATCATTTACAGGCGTGATTTTTAAAATATATTTATACATGTTTGGGCAACATCCATTTCTCCTAAAACACATTGTGTTGCACAAACAAAAACGTATATGAGTCAAATATTTCCTCACAATACAATTCAAAAGGATATTTATATATATCTTTTAAAAATAGTTTTAATCTCTAAATCTCTATTCATTAGTTTCCCAGAGGCAAACCTTTCACCCTGGGAGTAATTTCTCTTCATGAAATTAGTAGTCAACCACCAACATAACTGGTATCAAGAAGTGAATGCTGCAAGTAAACCACCTGCTGCTTCTCAAATACCCACTCCCAAGGCAGGATTTTTACGCTGGCAGTTAGTGAGCTGGCAGTGTCAAAAGAACCAGGAGCACCCTTCTTTGTAACCAGTTTGATTCAACATTGATTATCACATAAAGTATTTCACTGGCAGCTGCACTCACTTTGTATATAAGAAAAAGAATCCCTCGTACAACACAAATTTTGTACCCTGGGAATGTTTTAAATTTGTGGACTTATCTTTGTGCAATAGGCTGTTTCAGAATCCTGTGTCAACATGTATGCATTTTTGCACCTATCATGTGATCAGATGGCCATTCACTTTCCATTAGCATTTCTAATGATAATTACTTCAGCAGTGTCAAACTGAAAATGGAAATCTAAAGTAATTTTTGGGTGGTGTATAGGGAGAATGACTACCAGTTCACTGTAAAGATTTTGGAAGCTACCTACTTAAGCAACATACTTTGGCTGTACAATAGTAAATTCCACTTTAATTTACAACATCATAGCCTTACTGCCATTTTTTAACTTCTACAAACTTTGTAACATGACCTCAAACAGCTGAGAGGCTTATTCTTGTGGAAGTGTGCTGCACTTTATGGGTTTGATCCAACATAGCTTGTTAGGAGTTCAGCTAGTGCTGGAGGAAAGGTGCTGAGTTTAGGATTCTCCCTGCAGCCCCTACAGCCATTTCAAACATTTTTCTGGCATCCTGGGGGATCTTCTGGGAAAGTGTGGAAAATGGGGGTCTGCAGGAAGAAACTGGAGAAATTGCCCACTTCCTCCAGCAGGAAGTCTCTACTGAATTTTAGTTTCCTGCACAAATAGGAATCATAATCTTCATGTGGTAGAAGTCTGGAATCAAGTGTGGTACTTAGTGCCTTGATCAGTTCCTCTTTTCCAGTTGCATATTATAACTGTTTTTCATCAAAATGAGAACACCTCTTAAACTTTACTCACTGTTTATTTACATTAGAGAGAGGTCTTATACTGATGAAAATACCCACAAATACTCACCACCTGAGAGGTAAACTCATGGTTCTCTCTCCAAAAGTAGTAAGATACTATTGCAAAGTAAAAGGTGTGCTAAAAATGTTACAAAGTGCAATCCTATACCAGAAGCTGAATCAATGGGACTTGCTTTCAAGCAACTGGGAATAGGACTAAATTTTCAAGAAAAACTAAGTAATTTTTAAGTTGTCATCCCATGAAATTATATAGCTAAGATCCCAAATCTCTGTGAGGGATGTTAGCAAGATGCATGGGTTCAGGTCCCTGGAAGACCCCCTGCCCCCAAGACCAGGAGGGTCTTCCAAAGTAGCATTCCAGTAGGCACAAGCATCTGCCACTAAACAATATATGCCTCTTTCTCCATGAGCAAGTGAAGCACTCTGTTTATTCATAGCAGGCTCTTAGTTTCTTGGTCTGCATAAAAAAAAAAAAAAGCAGCACTATACTCAAAATGTTACGCCTCATTGTCTGTATTCTACAAATAAGAATAAATGCTGATTCAGATGTCATAAATATCTGTACATCCATGGACTTTTTTTAGACATTCTTAAGAAAATATTAGTTGACCATCAAAGTATAATGGTTAGAATTTTACTTGTAACACTGAATTGAATCATAACTTGCAAACAGTAAGTTGCTCCTGGGCAAAATTTCATATGACACATTGGTAATTATGACTGTTGGGCATTATCTCTGAAACATCTCTGGATTTCAACAGTTTGTATTTTACTTTATTAGTCATAGTAATAATTCCTATCATTCATAGTAAATAATTCCTATGTGTGATCTAAATACATTAATTGGCCAGAAACCAGTCTAATAGTTTATATTTCTGTCATGTGGTATATGTGAAATATAAAGCTTCAATATACACTTGAATGGGATAAAAAACTGCCTAGCATATACTGTTGTCTCCACAGAATCTTTTCTCTCTTTTTAAAAAGAACTCTAATGGCTTAATATCAATTTAAATCTAAATTACTATTATTATGATTCTAAGTTATCTGATATATACATATTATATATAACATTAAGGAATTTATTTCAACAAATGCTATTCCTCATGAATAATACAGCCTCTCTCAGAAAGGTACACAGTAGTCATACTCTGGAAAAAGATGAATTGGCTATAAAACCAGTGTTTAAAACAACAGTTTTCTAGTAAAAGGAAGCTTATTAGACACCTCTGTACCTGTTTGCTATAGTCATCCATATGGATAAGCATATCAGGTACTACTAGAAACATTTGTGTACTTTTCCCAGTTATTACATAATGACCGATTTGGGCTTTATACGGTTTTGTATTGTCCTGAGCTATGTGGCATTAAACACTACAGTAGATATTTTATTACATTAAATATAAAAACAATCCTGTAAGTACTTAAGCTACAATTTTCAAACTGTTTATTGTGGAGCAGCCTGCTTGAAATCAGTGCGATTACCTGAGAGTTATACAGTTTGAGGATTGCAACATTAACACCTTCAGGATCACCAGGAAAGAAATTTAGTTATATGCCAGTGAGAGAGGCAGCTTCTGCTGGGCTAATAATGAAATATTTCTCGCTTATGATGCATTGAGCAGCACATGCAATACAGGAGGAGTTGCATATTGAGATGCTGAACTGTAATTTAATCAGAGTGTTTCAAATTACACTGAATTTGTGTAACCTCAGAATGGCTCAATAAAGAATCAAACTGGTTTCTCTGGGCACTGTATAGGATCTACCACAGATTGGTATCTTTCCCCTTCTGCTGTGAGCTGACAGGGATTATTTCAGAGAAAGAAAGTGTGGAATTAGTAATGCAGATGCTGAAAGGCAAGTGGCAAGGCTCTACAAGAAGAATGCCTCCAATAGCTACTTGTTCCCAATTCTACTGGCACCTACCCACAAGGTAAGAGGCCAGAATGACCAAAGCCAATTTAATAGTAGTGTGCAGAATGTCAGCCAAACAAACAACATAAAACAAGTCACGTTGTGTTATCTGTGGTCACCTTGAGGGTTAGTCTAAGAACTCAAGACTTTACATTCTTCTGTCTTTCCTTGTTTACTTTAATTAAACATGTAATGGTTAATAAACTGACATAGTCCAGAGTTAGTAGGTTGGTATTATAACATTTATTAAAATAATGCTATGGGTTAATAGAAACAGCAAAGAACCAAAGAATTAAAATGCAAGCTATGTAAAAACCCAACTAAAACCCAAATATGTCTAATGTATTCAATCCAGTAGCTAACTAAAAGCCCAAGAAAGACAACACTCCCAATATGATAATAAAGTACTGCAAAACAATTGGCAATTTTCAGTTATCAAAATTGTGGGTTTTGCATTTTGTATCCTTTTCTCAATCAGGAAAAAAATTCTTCTGAATGTTATATAACATACATATAAAACAAGATAGAAAAATACATTATAAACTTGTAACAATGGCTGTAAATACATTATCTTACATGTTTCTCATAGGCAATAGGTTGGTTATGGTACATACATAGCATCAAACTAAGATAAAGGAATAGACGAATACATGTCATCTGTACGGTTACATACAAGCGACACTCCCATATACCCACTCTAAAAAAATTACATAATACTGTCAGAAAAAAAGACTTAAACTACATATCTTAATAAAGAAAAATTCAATAAAGAATGATAATACTGAGAACCAAGGCATTCAGAGATTTCAAAAGTCATGCTTTAAGTTGATCCAAAATGTTGTCAACTAAGTCTTCAAACTTTTTTTCAGAACAAACATTACTTTTACAAGTCACACTTCTCCCAAGAAGAAACATTTGATCAGCATCTATAAATGTCCAGGTTTATCATAGTTGAGATGAAACTGGATCAAATACTGGTAATGTTTAACCAATTCTCTCCAAAGTGTTTGAGTGTCGCAAGTTTATTCAACCAAACAAAAATCAAAATGGCACAGCATATACTGAAAGTCAAACCAAAAAAAAAAAAACCCCCTAAGTGTAACAGGAAGACAAAGCCAGTGGCAGGATGAAAGAAAAGCTAGCTGAGTACAAAAATGATGAATGTTTATTGCATAGTAAATAAACTGATACTTGTTTCCAGGTGTGACATAATGTTGACAAAGTCACCATGCAGGTGCTTAAAAAAATAAGCCCTCTTACCTAACTTACTATTGACCTTTAATTGGAAGCTGTGAATGTTTTAAGGAGAATAAGTTGACACAATGGAGGGGCAAGTTATCACCTGATCTTTGCCAAATCCGATTCAAAGCCATGGGCACACTGCTACTTGCTTGTTATTTTTATATTTCACTTTTGTGCGTAAAGTGTTTAATACTACTAGACCAGCTATGTAAACCTTTTCTAAATATTCAAACAGAAGCATAGCTGGATCTTCAAGACAGTTAACTCATACTATAAAGTATACTTTATACTTTTCCAGTATTCATTACTTAACATTCATTAAGTAAGAGTTTGATGAGAATTTTGCACTGTATATTCTATTTGGCATTGTAGGTTAAACATATGAAAACCCAAAACATGCTCAAAGACAGGTTGCCTGAATGTTCAGTTTAGTCATGAACAAGATTATCCTGGCACAAGCTCAATTTCTTCTATACTTTCCTGCACTTATTTCAAACAGAGACAATACAACCTATCCCTAAGAAGGGGAAAAATAACACTTGCTACTGTATGAATATTGTAATTTGATACTTTGATTTAGGTTGAGACTGCATCTTAGAACCCTTTGGTTTAAGGCTGAGCAAGTACTATAAAAATATAGAGTCTACAATTGAAGAGTGAACATGTTACAAAAATATGCGGTTGGCTGTTGGTGGAACAATTCTATTTCACAGTTAAGGATCTGGCAAAATTGCATCATGCTATGGCAAAAACCAGGTAATTTAAATGGTCAACTCATTTGTCTTTCCTCACAGCTTCTTTTCACATACTGGGCGACTGAGTGGCATGCATTAACTTGCTGTCTGAGGGAGGAGCTGATTATACGAGACATTTGACTAAATGACCATGGAGAAAATAAGGCACTTTCTTTTCTTATTCCAATACTTAAAAAATAAAAAAGAAAGACAAAAAGGCTCTTTTGGTCTTTTGTTTCTCGACAACCACCAGAAAAAATCATTTAATGAAATAAAGGGTTTCTTTGTTCTTTTTTCTTTTTTTATAACACTTGAAAGTATAAAATGCTACATTTCCAAAAATATATATTTTTTTCTGCACCAGCACCCTTGTATAGTAAAAGTATCTACTTTTTTCAATTTGTTTCAATGCACTACACTTTATCTACAATTTCATTACATGTATACAGCAAATAGGCAAGCATGGCTTTTACATCCTTATGAATTTTCTCTATACAGGGAGGTTTAAAAAAATATTTGAACAGTTTGCCCAGTAATGTGACACATAATGCATGTACCTTGTACTCATGTAATCTTTTAAGGAAGCTGATGTATAGTGAAAGAAACTGTATCTCAGGTTTAGCTTCAATAGTGTTGCTGTTTTATTTATGCATTGATGCAATTCAAAAACCCAGTAACCTATTTTTCATGGCACTTTTAAATTTCTTAAAAACACCCAATTTGGCAGGTAATATAAAAAAGGCTGCATCTTCTACCCTTTGAGGGCATTGGTAGTGACTACACTGCATGTCAAATTTTGAATACTTTTAGGAATCCCTTCACCAATGACATCCCTGACCAAAGGTTCATGCATGATGCATCATCACACAGTACATTCAAAGAGAGCTTTGACTTCTTCATGAGAAGAAAAAGATTCCTAGAAGTCTCACAGTAACTGCCTCTGTCATCAGGGAGTTAAGGGACATTTGCCTCCATCTCTTAAGTGAGGCCCTTCTTACCATTCATTTAGGGTGGGACACTAAAAGATGATCAGTGCGGAGGGATGAATTGGACCTTATTGCTTTACTACTATTCAGTGCAGGTTCTAGAACCACTTTCACCCAAACAGGGAAAAAAAGCTGAATTGGAGGACAACAAATTCTTTGTCTTTTTGTTAGATGGTAAGACGAACGGACAAGTGCCTCAGCTCGCTGCACTGAAGACAGGCAAGCAAAGGCGATTACCAGTTAACTGATCAGCAGGCAGGCATGGTCAGGTCATCATTGGGTGAAGAGTTCAGAGGTCAGAAGGTCATAGGTTAGTTGCCGGTGGCGGCTGGGTGGTTAGAAACAAAAAACAAAACAAAAAAAAGAAAGAAAGATAGAGAAGAGATTAGTTTCAGCTAGTGACGGCTTAATGACAACATGAAAACTAATCACAACTAATAAAAACAAGCTTGTTTAATTCTGACATACTGCTTGACACCATCTACAGAATGCAATAAAAATCATGACAGCCTTCTATCATGATTTGAACATATGAAGGAAAAGCCCACTCCCACAAAACTGGTTAACAAGGAAAAATAGAAATAAAATGTAACAACTAATAGTTAGTAGCAGTCGATGAAAGGAAATTAAAACAAAAACAAAAAACAAAACCAAACAATGAATAGTTTCTGGAACTTGGTAAAAGAATTTAGAACAGTCAGTGCACCATATCAGTATCTGACTGCTATTAAGCATTAGTATTCTCCCATGTGCAAGCATCAAAGCAACTAGTTATGATGAATGTGATTATTAATAACTGATTGTTAAACAATATGAATCTAAGGAATTTGAATTGTCATGAACAATTGGTTTCACAAACTATGGGCCAAACAAGTTTATTTTTGTTCAATAAATTTTATTGCTTTTCAATGATTCTATTTACAAACAACACTGGATTTCTTGGCTTCATGATACAAAGCAATCTAAATTGAAGTCTAGAAGTGTAGGCATCATCATGGGAACCAGGAAAAGGCCAAATGTTCTAGCCAGCGTTTTCCTGTTGAAAATGCTATTTTACATATATAGGACACTAAGAAAATGCACTTGTATGTAAACACTGTAAAAGTCCTGCCATTTAAAATTCTATACTTAAAATGCTCTAATTACATCAAAAATAGAGGAAATCTAATTGATACTAATAAGGCATTTTTAAAACTACAAACAGCTCTTTTTTCAAAGCTAATACTCTGCAAATACAATAAAATCTGACATTTCATATACATTCCTGCTTTATATTTTCATATTTTAAAAGAAGCCACCTGTAAATACTATTTTCTTTTCCAAAACACACACAAAAAAATTACAGTAAAACATAAAAAAGTTCTCAAGTGGAAAGTTATCATTCCCAATGTTCTTGAGCTGTTCCTTCTTTAATGACTCTCTCACATTCTCCTTCAACAACTTGGTCCACTTTACAGTAGTACAAATTTTAAGACTCATTCAACAGCTTTATCATCTCTAATAAATTCTGAGGTTTGATAAGAATATTTGTACTGTTGCCATTGACTAAAGCAGAGGAGATGGAAGTGAGAAAGGTATTCAGTGCAAAGTCAGATTTGTGCCATTTCTTAAAATGAAATTCAGTAGGTGCAATGTTCACAGATAGCACACTTTTAAATGATCTACATCATGGGTTGGATTTACCTTCACATGTTACATTGTTTCTATGGCCCATTATTTAGGCTACAGATCATGAACACTAAACATTACTGCTGTAACTTAAATGAGATCTCATGTTCCCTGATTTAATTATTTTATTTTTAAAATTCTGGAAAGCAGGGTTTAAGTTACAACTGTTGTAAAAAAATTAAAAATCAAACAAAAACAACTTAAAATTAAAAAATAAATATTTAATGTGGCACCATCTTGCCACCTTAAAATGTTTACTAGATATCCGGAATCTTAAAGCATTCATGGTACTTATTACAATTTTGATTAAAAAGGTATTACAATTTTTATATATAAATTATGTGACAATTGGCTTTGAGGAAAAAACACATTCTGTTATGGTCTTAGCATTGCCATTTCTTGTGGTTTGTAAAAATCAATGCAAGCTATCTTAAGATACCAGTACACCTGTGATACATCCTCTGCCAAGTCCCTGACCTTCTACAGTACACACAGGTTTGTCAACTGTGCAACACCATTTACAGTTTATTACAATTAGATCAGTCAGTCTCTGTTACATGGATCAAAATCTGGTTTATATTATTTATACAGCGGGGCTTTAACCTTAGCAGAAATTATTTAAGTACTGACATATAGGGGGCTCTTGCTTTAAATGCAATGCTCAAATATAAGCCCAACATTAAGAATAAAAGCTTGCTTAATGAGAGAATACAATAGTAGGATGTAGCAATTCAGAAAACAATTTAGACCCAATGAATTCATATTTTACCTTGAATTATCTGCTCATAGTTTTTCCTTATGAAAAGAAAGCAATTCGGTTTACTGACATTGTATTTTAAATAAAATCAGTATTAAACAACTCATCAAAACTTGTGTTCCTCTGCTGTAGATATAACTAGGAAGTGTACATTAAAATTACCATAATAGGAGTTTTCAAAAAGTAACATTTATTTTAGGTTGGTTGCATACTTAAATAAAACCTGAATCAAATACCAAGAGATATACATAATAATCTTACTGAAGCAAGAAACAGGTATGGCGTTCTGGTCTACTGTAATACAATTTACTGCCTAAAAGCAATACACAAAAACTATTTTAGCCATTTATGATGTCTGAAATTCTCCACCATGATCACCAATTACATGTTATTTTCTGAATTATGTAGCACCATTAGCAGAAACTAACAGTAATGAATACAGGAGAAAAAATTAAGAAGGTCACCATGTTATACACAATGGTGACCGTAAGTGAGAAGGCACTTTGGGAAAACCTACTACTAAAAGCAATCAGAAATCTACATGCACTCAAAGAATACTGAGTAAAACCATATACTCGCTGTACCCTATTTGAAGCATAACTCTGACCAAACAAATATGCAAAGTATTTCCTGAGGCCTACCAACTATATCTACAAACCAAAGTAGGTTAAAACCTCTATCACCACCCAGCTGTCAAAACATTCCATTAAGAAGAGTCTGTGGCCCAATTTAGACAATACTGTCTACTATCTTCTTGTCTATCACCAGTAGGATATAAGATTGTTCCTTCCCATATCATGTGGCACTGCTTGTGGCATCTCTAGTCATCCACATAGGGGATAATTCTGAATATATGGGAACAAAGTGATCTGGTCCTGCACATACTGGTTTTTCACATTTAAACATTAATACACAGCCAATAAAGGTGCAGCTAGAAAAGAAGGATCTTGCTCCCTCAGGGACTAGTACTGTTTAAAAGTAAGTGAACAGAACTGAGACTCAGCATAACTGGTGATTTCTCAGGGAAACCATATATATTTTGGAATTACATATTAGCATTTTAGAACTGCACAAGAACCAGCCTTACTGAAATAGTTTATAATGCTTCTACACTAAGCCCCTTTGCTGTGAACCAAGGAACTGGTTAAATGTACAGAAAAGTCTCTTGTGTGACATACAGTATTTGAACTGTTAGGATAAAATATCCATTTTCTAAAAAAAAAAAATTACATTAGTGCAATACATGAAACCTAAAGATAAAACATGTACTCCCAAGCAACATAATTTGGCACTCAATTATGATTTGCATTCTACAACTGTATAATACAATTTAATCCACTCAGAAGACCATTCATATGGAAACAGATGATATAGTGACTTCCCCAGTCCCAAAACCAAGTAAATACCTCAGCTGGGATAAATGCACCTGCGCAAACATGATGTTACTTCCAGTAGCATGCTCAATGTCAATAAACCGATAGTTCACTTTTCACAAGAAATTTTAAATAATTCAAAGGCCCAAGAGTTCACAAGTATAGTAAATTACATTTCATATAAAGGAGAAAATGAAGATTTCTTTTCCATTTCACAGACAAGCCAAACAGACATGAAACAATTGTCTTTGCTAACCAGAACATCAACACTGCAACAGGTTTGGGAAATGAAATTTCAGCTGCAAATAATAAGCCTAAAAATTCAGTTTTGACAGGAAAGCAATCTTTACTAATACAAACCCTAGACAGTTTGACAGATTTTCACTGTTCTTTGCTGAATTTAGAAGATAACTTTCTTTAGAGAAGAAAATTTAGAGAAGAAATATGATCAAATTATACAACAGAAACACAAATGGTTTATCAGCAGAGAGGAAACTAAATCTTCAGCTTTCTCCTGAAATACATAACTTTTATCTCTATCTCATTAAGCGCCCATCCATTCATTTTATTTTGCAACACCAATCTGATATTTCCAATTAATAAAGAAAGAGTTGCATGGGAGGATCAACTACTAATGCAACACTAAGACTTGAGTCCAGCTTGAATTATAGATAGTGTTTACAAAGGGAACAAATTTTAGCATTTTATATGGAATACAATGAAGTTTATATATATATTTTAATATATATCTTTTAAATGGTAAGGATACAGTAGTTTACAATTTTAAACCTCTGGAAAAATATTACTACCATTTCAATTTAATTTAAAACATCAATAGTATGGTCAAAATAGTATTTGGTTAACCAGCTGTGGTGTTGCAAATTTCATGTACACTCAAAGCATTTCTTAAAAGCAAGAACTGCAGAACTAAACTAACCTCTGTCTGCGGTCACAATCCTTTGGTAAGGATGGACACGCATATCGTGCCTTCGAACTTTAGTAGCCACCGCACCTAGTTAAATTGTAATTACCAAGACAGTTAGAAAACATTTGAAAAAAAACATTAACAGCAGGCTTATCAAAATGGATTTTAAAAGATCACTTTCTAAAAAATTTATTTAAAGAAAACAACAAGTTAAGGCACAGTAGTTTCAAATCTTAACCTTAATATATGGAGTATATCTGTGCAGATTAATATTGCATTATCTTAAACATCCGGGCCTTAACCTGCATTATCCATTCATTTACAAACGCCATTACAGTATTTCATGAAATCTACTTAGACCCAAACACATTTGAGCTTTACTAGTCACATATTCACTGAAGTGCCTTCCTTGCAGCAGGACTGTCTTAAATAATGCCATTTTTAATACTGAAGGTTCTTTGCTAATCTTAAAATAACTTCCAGTTTTTACCATTTTAAAAAAGTTTTAAAGCAATTCCTCAAGCCTACAGACTGTGGTTTAAAACTAAGTCAATAACTGTGAACTGCAATGAATTAGGTGATTAGTAAAGCAAATAGTACAGAATACATAGCAGTCAGTATACTACCATACACTCATAAATCACTGCTAGTTTGTCATAGCACAGGCTACACCAAATTAATAGCATTTTTATTTCTATGTGCAAAAAAGTGCAAGTAAGTCACTGACTGCTAGGCTACATTTTTCTCAAGGCTGCTGAAAACTAAGCATGTGTTAAAGTCAGCTCTGATGAGGGTTCAGTTAAGACCATTCTTGAATTCTTAGCCTTTCGTTGGGAAAGCCATACCTAAAGATAAAAGGAAGGGAATTAAAAATTAGTCAACTAAGATTTGATGCTACTGTCCATCTTCCCTTATATTACCACACTTTTTTTGATCAATCTATTGGGAATTTTATATTATCCCAATATTTCACAAAATAAAACTATTAATATCAATTGCGATCTGTTATGTGACACTCAAATCTATTGGGCAGCTTTCCATAACAATGTACTTTAACATAATGGCATTTTCCTACTAACACCACATAGGTTCTCTTAGCATTATGTACGTTTGTCAAAATCCAGCAGCGTTTCCCATTTGCTTGAGCGTTGTGGTTGATTTTGCACACATACACTCTTCCATAGCAAACAGGGCCCTGGCTCTGATTTTTCAGCCAAAAAAGCTTATACTCACTTCACCAACAGCAATGTTGCATGCATTGTACAAGCTTTGAATATGATTAATTATTCTAACTATCTTTGCTTAGGTGATAGTGTGTATCTTGAAATTAGCACTTTCAAACAATTCTGAAGCTTCATTTAAATTAGGGTATAAGGGGTAATTTGCTACAATACTAATATTGTATATATTAATATACTCATTTTCTCTCATTGTAAGCTGCCTTGGAAGCTCATTGCAACATCTATTTAGGTTGGGTGTTACAGTACCTAAGGAAATGCTACATTTACAGTATGTTATGCATGGCTTGAAATTATATACTATATACCAGTGCAAGTGAAGTCACATGAAGAAACGTGCTACTGGTGACTGAAGGTGTATCTAGACTAGTAATTATCTTTCTGAACAAGCTATTTTCATCTTGAAACAAAATACCTACAAAGGCAGAAATATGGGGTAGTAAGATAAATTATTGTACTAGAGGCTCATAAGTATAGTGTTGCAGTTATCATTAATATAAAAAATGTGCTGTTTAAGATAAGAAGTGTGCTGTATAGAGCTGTAGTAGGATCAGTTCTATCAAAGCAGTAGACAACGAGAGCAAAAGTAAAATAACAAGAAATGCTTTTCTCTGACCAACATGCTAATGTGAACTCATGTATACATATCAATCCTTCTTTAACTGTGAACTTCATTTATTCACTTCAACAGAATGTTCAGTAGTTACCCAATGTTCTCTTTAAACTATCTGCATGAATCACCCAATGTTTAAGCATCAGTTTCCACTGATTTCAATGGCAGATTAATATTGCAATCCTATAGTGTCTACTCAGAAGGAAATCCCATGGAATTCAATGAGACTGATTCAAGTAAAGGGTATAGGATTGAACCCTATGCTTCTCAATTTGAAATCAAAGGGATTCAAAGGTGCTTAAGTTTAGGCTTTGTCGTGGCTTTTCAATGTGAACATAGGTAACTACTACAAGTTTAGAAACAGAAGGGTGACTAAATGAACAATATAATATCAGGGACATACACTTCACACAAAAATAGGGAGGAAAAGTTATTCAAAATTATGAATAGAACAAAAACTACACTGCAACGTCCATATTGGTCTTTTTTATAAGTGTTGCTATATTCTAGCCTTCATCCAGGAAGTCAATGGACCAAAGTATCAGGAATGACAGGCATTTCACTCTCCTCTGTAAAAAGAAAAGGTGCCAGCAATGTTTCAAATTGCAACATCCGTTATTTTTCGCTCTCACCTAACTTCATTTACTGCAATTACTTTAATATGAAAGTACATGTCAGTGACAGTCAAAAAGATATTTCCCTCCTTTGGCCCAAGAACAATGGGACAATTTACCCTTCTTGCAACTGGCTTGTGATGTCCCACCTTTCCCCCATCCCCATTTAGTTGGGGGGGGGGGTTCAAAGATGGGACTATGCTTTTTTAGCAATCATAGCACTCATAGGATTCACCTGCAAGTATTGTCAGATAATTTTAGAACACCCTTATGCCCTCTTTTAGACAGACACTTTACAATACATGCAGAGAAGGGATCCATCAATGCTGTAGAGGTCCATCCTCTGATGGATATGAAGTGGTGAATACACTTAACATGGCGGCTTAGTTTTTTCACTGTATGCTAGTGTGCCACTACATGCTAGTGCTGTAGTTTCAACCACCTATTTTCAGCAAATCTGTAAGAATTATACATTATTTTATTTGATTACATCTTCAAAATCTGAAAAGCAGCAAAAGTTGGTAGACCTCAAATGACTAGCAGGGAAAAAATGATCAAGCTGCCACTGTGTTTTGATAGTGACTTCATCAGAAGCAGCAACTGCAAGTTCTTCTTTACCAAAGATTGTTCCAAAAAAATTTAGGTAGTAAAAGGAGCCAGTCCATACACAATGGTAAATCATGGGTTAATTAACCAAAGGTCTCTCACATGCCTGACACTTCTGCTTTTTATTGGCAAAGTATCATTAAATTGTGACATGCAAATGTGGGGCATTGGGTTTTTTAAGAAATAACCCAGTGGTTAACCCAACTACAAACCATGGGTTAATCACTGGGCTTAAACCTTAAACAACAAAGCTCGAGGTCTGCACATCATGTTCATAAATTGTGGCCTGCCAAATCATAAATTGTTGATTAGAAGTGTGAGTGAGGAGCACACAGCCAGTAACACACAAATTTCTGTTCATGTATTATGTCATTCATGAGTTAATTAACCCACAATTTGTTTTTACATGTGAATCAGGACACAATGTGCATGTTTCACTATACTATATGTACGCATTTAAGGCAAAAGGCATTCTTAAAGAAATCTGTAAGTCTCAAACAGTAAGTTATGAAACACACCACCTGACCAATTAATATTCAATTAATTATCTAGAAACTTACCTAATACACCACTGGGTTCAATAGGATACTCAAGAATTGATGTAGCAGGTGCCAGTGTGTAGGGATACTCATAAGGTGTGTAAATTAAACCAGCTTCAGGTCCTGGGGGTACTATTGCAGCAGTTGGGTGAGGAGTTCCATTTGGCATGACAGCGGTCTGTATTTGTCTGATCAAAGGCATTATGGTAGGGCCAGCTGGCGTAGGGGTACGCAGAGCAGCTGGTGGGAGAACAGGCGCAGGCCCCGTAATAATCCTTGGAGCCTGGGCTGTTGCTGCAAGAGAAAAGGCAAGGGCTGCTACAGTAAGCAAAGAAATTTAGAAGAAAGTATGGAGACAGCAGTGCAAAACATGGAAAGATGGGAAAAGTAGAAAAGTAGGAAAGAAGAAAAATAAAAGGAAATCATTAGTACATGCATTGATCACACAGTGCCAAAGCACACCATTCAAAAGCAAACAGCTTTCCATTTCCCAGTGTGATTAAGAATGAACATGCAAAATAAAAGCCAATTTAAAATGGTAGAATAGATTTCTAAAACAGGTTACACAGCACAAAAGCTCAATTTAGACCACATATTTTTTCATTACCTATGCCTTCAAGACTGCATGAGACTGAGAGGCATGCAGGAAACAAAGAAAATACTGTTGTAATTGCATATGGAAGATTAAAAATAGTGAGACTGCACAGAATCCACAGAAATTCAGTGAAACTCAGATATCATACAGTATAACATGTTTCAACTGCAACTCATTATATAAACATTCTTTTGAGTCTGAAAACATTAACAACTGTTTATAACCACTTTCAGGCTCACTGGGGTATTGCTGGTAACAAGAATAAGTATAGGCACCTAGCCATGCTAGGAAGGGAACAATGGAGGGTGTAGAACTTTTTACTTTCTAAACATGAATTTCAAATATTTTTAAACATCAGACTGTTCAAAATCATTCATTTTGAACTTAAGACAGCAATACAAGTAGATTAGATAGACTAATCATAATAAAACAGGCTATGATTCAAAATTGACAGTGACTGCATCTTCAGTTCTTAACTTCTGTTGCCACATGTTACTATCTGTTGCCAGACCAACGGAATAATCGCCTTGCTTACATTCTAACACATGCAAGAAGATTCTGTTATCAAATAGAAAAGCAATGCTAAATGTGCCAACTAATATTTATATACAGACTTGATATAAAACACAAAGTGAATCAAGAACATTATTATTTTTCATGAAAAACACTGGGTTGGATCCCATTTATGAATGCATAACATTGGTGGTAGAAATGAACTTACCCACCCTTTCTCCCCACAGTAGCCCTTGAAAGCACTACACAGAGAAGATACAACTATGTTTATGGGGTAAGGTTAAACACCTGAGATTAATGTTATACCTTTAACTGTTTATGTTATACCTTGAATTTCTTCAGATATACCTGGCAAAAATTTTTTTAAACATAATGTTCTATTTTATAAATTTAGGAGTGCCAATTCTACCTTGTGATTAATATCCTTGAACAGGATGCAACTTCTAATAGAATAAGGTGATTTGGTTTCCCAGACCTTGCTCTACATTACAAAGTCTATTTGGAGACCAGAACTAATTTTGGTCTTTTCCACTTAGATTTTCCACCTTGGTCAATTCTGCAATTATCCTGTCTGGACCCTCTCTCCAAACAGATGGTGTTAGGTTCTAGCCCAGATTTAAGGCCGCTAGAAATGTGTAGGGTATAAAATCACATCAGTTCTATTTTGATTCCTTTTCCTATGCTAAACTGACTCTATGGGGAAATCCAGACTTAAAAACTGGTAAGAAAATGTTTAAGTGGCAGGGTCTCAGGGAGGAATATAATAGAGAACTTCACTGCCTCGTTTTGCCTAATCAATGGATTGTCTCTTTGGTATCCATATTAGAAGCACTAGTGGATCTTTAGTTGCATTGTATTCAGAAAAAAAATGGATGCCACATCATCTTTTAAATAAAGGTTTGTCTAAGTTTACTGGAGGTATAAACACAGTTATAGTTTTATTTAATCATATACTTTGACAATGTGCAGTAGTTGTCTCTTTTCGGGAAGAGATTATAGTACAGATAAACTTGGTACTGGGACACTTTAAACTTTGTACTGGGACACTTAATATTTATCAACATACATGTGCCTCTTCAAGCATCTACCTGCTTCCTAGAACTTACTACACACTGGGTTAATACAAATGGCATTGTTGAGAGCTGTCAACAAGCCCCAACCCCCACCCCCACCACAGTTCTGTGACAAGCAGAAAATTTTCCCAGACAAATGCCCAACCATGCTCCCAGAGGAAGCTCTACCTGGCAGGATATATTGCTTCAGTCCCTGGCATACATACACATGCTGATGCCTGGGTGCAGAGGGTGCCCCTGGAAGCATGTGTGAATCCTGTACATGGAGGAGACACATGTGCAAGCGAGAGGTGGAAATGTGGCTAGATGTGCTTGCATGTTGGCACAGAGCAGGGCAGCAGCAGAAAGCATTCCTGCAATGCTACTCTAGCGAGAGATCTAGTAACCCTAGATGGGGAAGGGAGGTTGGCGGACACACAACATGGCTTCCACAAAAACAGGTCCTGCCAGACGAACTTTGTGGAATTCTATGACAAGGTTTCAAGGTGGCTAGACAGAGGGGACATGGTGGATGTGATTTACCTGGATTTCAGCAAGGCCTTTGACAAAGAGCCACAGGATATCCTGGTTGAGAAATTGAGGAGTTTTGGGATAGACCAATGTACTGGCCAATGGATTAGGGCATGGTTGACGCACCAAAAGCAGAGGGTAACTATTAGTGGGGAATCATCAGGATGGCAGCCGGTGATGAGTGGGGTCCCCCACAGCTCTGTCCTGGGATCCATCCTGTTCAATCTTTTCATCAATGACCTGGAAGAAGGGGTGACCAGTCTGCTGATCAAATTCACAGATACTAAAATGGGGTTGGAGGCCACAACTGAGGAACAGGTACTTCGAATTCAGACGGATCTAGACAAGACTATGGAAGTGGGCTGGGGACAACAGGATTGTGTTCAATGCAGGTAAGTGCAAGGTCATGCACTTGGGGAATAGGAATGGGTGTCATAAGTGCAAGTTATGGGACAAGTGGCTGAAGAGCAGCACTTGTGAAAGGGCTCCCGGGGTACTGGTCAACTGCAGGCTAAACATGAATCAGCAGTGTAATGCAGCAGTCAAGAGGGTGAATGCCACCCTTGGTTGCACAGCCAGAGGCATAGCTTCTAGATCGAGAGAGGTATTACTACCACTCTATACGACTCTGGTGTGCCTGCAACTGGACTACTGTGTTCAGTTCTGGGCCCCTTTTTACAGGAAGGATATAGCTAGGTTAGAGTCAGTGCAGCGTAGGGCCACAAGGTTAGTGGCCAGTTTGCAGGGAAAGCTGTATGAGGTGAGAGTGAGGGAACTGGGTCTTTTCAGCCTGGAGGAGACTCGTGCGGATCTGTTGGCAACATACAGGTATGTGAGGGGGTGTCACACGGAGGTGGGTAGAGACCTGTAGAGGAGGACAGGACATGTTCCAATGGAGCAAAGCTCAGGGAACTTAATTTGGATGTCAGGGAGTACTTCCTGACAGTTAGGACCCCAAGGGCATGGAATGGCCTTTCACAGGAGGTGGCTTAAGTCCCATTGGTGAGGGTGTTCAAGGATAGGCTGGACATGCACATGATGGGCATGTTATGAGCGGAGCTGGGGGTCAGACTAGATGGCCCAGGAGGCCCCTTCTGACTTGCTCTGTTTCTATGAATAGACAGTTGCTTCACAGAGCAGGAGAACAAACAGAAAACAAAAAAAGGCAGCCAGCTGATGCTATAACCGGGGAGAGTATAGGACAATGAGGGAGCTGCAGGTGAGGCCGGCAGAAGCAGTGCACCTGTATTGATTCTGCACCATGGGGGCTGATGGGACACATGCTGCCATTTGGAGAGAAGATGGGGAAGCATGAAAACAATGCATTCATAGAAATCACATGGATGTGTGAACCCAGGACACAAGGTGAGATACCATGCCATGTGGTTACCATGCAGCGTCACTTAGCATTATGTGTGAACACATGCATTGTGCAGAAAAGAAAGCAAATCCTGTATGTGTTCAGAGTCACCTTTACGACAATGTTGCTGGTGGGGGAAGGGGGAAGTTTTTAAGTCCAGAGAACATTCATGGGTCCTATGGCACCTTCCACAAGTGTGATCTCTAGCCTGGAAAGTGCGTCTATTCAACATGGTTTTCAAACCTTCTAACCAACTTTTTTTTTCCAGGTGAAGGAATTGCCTTAGGGAGGAATCAATGAGGGAGTCTGCTTTTACTGGCCACATTATGCATCTGAAATTCTGGAACCACCCCAGTGGATTAGACAAAAAATAACCACAACAGTTTTGATTCAGCTTTTGTTCTTGTGTCAAGTCCAACTAGCTTAAAAACAGAGTCAGGCAGTCAGAGGAAATATGTATACATTATGCATGAAAGTTCATGAAACCTAATTGCTAAAGAACATTTGAAATTAGCCTTTAAATCACTTGGGTGTTTGTCTATCTACAGTGATACAGTCCCACTGAAGTCATGGAGACTTCAGACAAAGTCACCTGTGAGTAAAGTTGCCATAACCCAGTTTTTCAGAGCCAGACACCATACGTTAATTGCTACACGTTGTTTACTAATTATGCAAAGTAAGCTCATTCTTTTGGGTAGCACCCACCAATAACTTTGTGTTTGCTCCTGGCATAAACCACAAAGGTTGGGAAAGGGGTAACAGAAAAATAGTTAACTATTTGCTCATGTCATTCTAAGAGCACAGCAATGGATATTTAGAAGAGATGTGGCAAGTTACATTATCCTACCATCACTAGTCCTGCTGCATATTAAGACATAGTTCAATATTTCAATTTTGTGAAAGCAGAAATTCCAAGATCTCTCAAATCTTGAACATTGCTAGTAGGGCATGATTCTCAAAGCAAGCCCCTTTCTCCATTAGTTTTAAAAGCTGTTTGGTTAGGTGGTGGTAGAAACAGATAATGGCCTCAAATCAGCAGGATAGTTAGGCTGCAATCCTATGAATGCTTACTTGGGAGTAAGTTATTTATTTTAAAAAGTACAAACCATTCACTTTGATTTTAGGTTTTAATGAGTCAGGTTCTTTTTCCCCCCTAATTCCATTAAACAGAAAAGAGCCACAAACAAAGTGAGAAACTCATTAGCACTTTGCATCCTCAGTTGCTTGGTTCCAGATCACAAAACAAAGAACATACCATAAAGCAAAC